AGATTGTTTCAGAGGCAGGACAGGGAACTATAGGACTTAATGTCTGCCCTGCTGGATTTTGGGCTTGCTTTGGTCCCAATCCTTGGTGTGCTCCTGCTTGTAACTTTTGAAATGGAAATGTACAAGGACTCATAGCTAAGAGTGTGTTGTAAATTTCAGAGGAGACTTGGCACTTGGACTTTTCAGCAATGCAGAAACTATTAGAACTTTGATAATTTTTGCAAAAAGACTAAATACCTTTTGTATAAAGAGATGTACATGAGTCTTTGGTGGTCCAGGGGAAGAATGTTATGGTTCTAATGTAATAAATTGTTTATGGGCCTAATATTGGTTCTTAAGGTTGTTAAACTTGTGCTAAAATGTTCAAGTTGTGAAATAATAAGTATGTCTTAATTATTGTAACTGCCCTACTAACCTGTTTTGAAACTGTTTAATTGCTTTTTCCTTAAAATGAATTAAAAAAAAAAGAATTCAGTATGTCTCTATATCTGGAAACTGCTTTAAAGAGATGTATCTGTATCCAAGTTAACCAGGGGTGGATTATAGTGGTTGATACATTGTGTCAAGTTGAGAATTGTTAAATTTAGAAGCCTAAATAGTGACTCAGTAGGAGTCCAGGGTCCTCACTTGGTAAACATCCTGAGCTTGTGGAGGAGGAGGGGATGAAGGTAGTGTGGGGAGGAAAAGAGGCCTGCTTTGCCCCTTTTCCCCTTGTTGCTTTTGCTGTCTTCTGCCATCTCAAGATGCTGCCTGTCACCGTGCCTGCTGCCATGGAGCCAGATGATTACGGACTGAAAACTGTGTTAAGTAAACCTTTACTTCATCAGGGTGTTCATCTCAGCAGTGAGAGAAAAGTAGCTAAGACAGTGGCCAAAGCACAGAAAACTTAATTCTGTTTACAAATAATGAATTCTGATAAGTAAAGGTATAGGTGAGAAACCAGGAGATGAATGTGCAGGAGGATATATTAAAAGTTGAAAGCATATTCATATTCTCATCTCACAACTTGGGGAATTAAGAGATATTGTTTGTATTTACATTAATGGATTAATTAAAAATAATTTGTTGAGGTACTATTTCCAGATTCCTAGATTATGTTTAGGACTCCTTTTAGAAAGTTATTCCTACATGTAAGATGGGATACATATGTGATGATTTTTATGAGCTTGGAAATTTAGTTTATTGTGCATATAAACCCTCTGTGTTATGTTATTTATCTAATCATACATATGCTTGTTTATTTTGAGAACCTCTTTCATCTTCTATACTTTATTAAAGCATCGCTTTGTTTTCAAAGTTTAACGTAGAAAAAATCAAATTAATGTTTTTTGAAATTGACATCTCACTCAAAAACACTTCATATTCTAATTATATGATTCAGCAGAAAAGTCCATTGCAGTTTGTACGCTCAGAGATTTAGAATCAACTGCCAGAGCATCAGCATGAACCAAGACTCTCTGCATTGTCACACAGAAGTAAGTTTACCAATATAAAATAGTCTGAGAAAGGTCCTTCAAGGATTGATGTGTAAATATTTTCCTTTATATAAATTTGTTTTCACATTCCATTTGTCTGTGTGCCTCAGCCTGAAATACAACTGCAAAGCATGCTTTTATGTGCAAATAATATGTGCCGGTATTGAAAGAACTGGGTACTCATTCTGAATTTGTGACTAACTGGCTAGGTGACTACAGATAAGTTGAGGAAACTCTGGTTCTCATCCAGACTGAATGCTTTTTAAAAGCCTTTTGTAATGAGAATGCTCTACTTTGATGAGCTTTAACATTTGAATATATTGTACTACCCAATTTATTCTCCAAAAGAAGCCCCAAACAAACAAACAAACAAACAAAAAACAAACACTTAGCAAGAACTCAACTGCAATGTGGCAGCTATGCTAAAACAGCATTCCTGGAAAGCCCAATGGGAGAAAGATCTGAAGGGATGAAGGGTTGTTAGAGCCCAAAACTTGTTGCACTGTGGAGGAACCTCCCAGACTTCCCCAGCTAAACATCCAACTACAATCCTTTCCCTAGGTTCACATCTGTATCCATGCACCTGCAACTTCCCATTCCAAACCTACTTTTCACACCTAGATTAACATCTAAAGGGCTGGCCAAATTGTTCAGCCAATTAAAGCACCTGCAAGCAGGTGCAGAGTTCCATCCCCGGGCTTGCTGTGCCAGCCCTGCCCTGAGAGGGCAAGTGCAACTGGGTGTGGTGTTGCGCTTGTAATCCCAGCACTTGGGAGGCTGTAAACAGGAGAATCACTACAAGTCCCATCTAGTAGTGAGACTCTGAACATCTTGTAGATCCTTCCCTAAAAATACAGAAAAAAAAATCTAAGGTTGAATCTACTAATGAAGACAAAAAAAAGAGGTCATAAAGGAAAGTAACAAAAATGTTGCAATTCATTTTAAGTTAAAAATTTACAACAACAGAAACCAAGATTCTCTTTGCCACTCTACCAATATCAAAGTCAACTTTGCTGTAAAAACTCAACCATTTGCTATAATGATCTTCTATTAGCAGCATGCATCTTTCTCAGTACATATATTTCTCTGTTCACTTTGAAACAGAAGTAAATTCCACAGTGCAATGATCCAACTGTGAGCTTACCTCTCAGGAAAGTGTCAGATTTCTTTCCTTCTCTTTCATTTCAAAGAGCAGTTATATATTAGCATAGATCCAAAATCAGAGTTGAAATATGTTATTACATTAGCTACAAAAGAAGCAGTAGAGGTAACCAGACATGAGGAACAGGAAATTTCTGATAAACAACTATGATGGTTATCTAGAAGCTGAATTGAATCATAGACACAAGAGTTTGCAATTGCATTTTCAATTGCAGATTTAAGAGTAACTGCCTCCCACTTATATGATAGTGTCAGTTTAACTCAAAATTTGAGTATGGCTTTATAGACTTAGCATTCTATTCTCAAGTAATATCAGACAGTATTTATGTATGAGGCTAACATGGAGTACATTTGAGTTTAGAAAAAGAAATGTTGAAAAAGAATAATGGGGTATCTCTGATATGTGTGCTATTACCAATGTTAATAATTTAATGGTGAAATAAATAAGATTGCCTTTTGACATAGGCAGCATTCACTGAGGAAAATCTGCATCTGATATTTTTAGCTGGGTTGTTATTGGGTTTGGAGTGAAGAGACAAACAACATCCACAACTAATTTTCAATTTTAAAGAAGTGAAACACAAGAGCAGCATTTCTCAATGGAACGAAAGTTCTCCGGGAACGTAAGGTCTCTGCAGTGACACTGACTGACCCTTGCTCATGCCCCTTCATCACTGGAGTAGCCCTTGTCATCATTTAAAAGGCCTGAACTGTGTTTGGAGACACTGGCCTTGTGCCTGCAGACTCACAACTTCTTTCTCTGCTCTTGGGAAGAAAAAGCAGAGAACACTAACCCAGGATGTCTCTGCACATGCATTTCTTGGTTCTTTGTTCTTTTCCAGGAAGAAAGATGGTGGGACTCTTTTTTCCCCAGGAAACAGAACTTTTGAGATATACAGATGTTGCCTGACAAAACTGGCCAGAGAAAAAAGAAGGAGTGTGACTGGAGGGCCTGATCGATCCCTGCTAGCTATTAGTTACCTTATTGCAGGACAGCATAGCAGACCTCCCCTCCTTCCCAATTTCCCTTCATTTCCCTTCCATTTTGCTGTCTTTCCCCCTCAACCCTGAATTTGGCCTTCCATAGTAAAAGGTCAGTATGTTTTCTACACTTGGGAAATCTCATTCAAGAATTTTTGTCAATGGACAAGTCATAAGAAGCCCTTCCATTTTAGGACTCGTTGACGTCACCAAGGAGGCGATAAATATCTGTTGATATAATTGGATGTGAGATTCAGTGTTGAAATAGCAAAACTCTGTCCCTCGCTCCTTGGCAGGGCCCTATGATTTATGCAGGAGCAGAGGCAGCACGCAATCGAGCTGTCAAGAGAGCGTCAGCTTATTAGGCAAATGCTGCGTGCTTTCTGAAGAGGGTCGACACTATAAAATCCCACACCGGGCTCTGGTGTGGAGAAACTCAGAGCCCAAGTACATTAAAAGACTGAAGAAAAAGAGAAGAGACAAAGACAAAGAGACTGGGAACAGAAACAAAAGGGAAGAAAACCTTCTTTAGAGAAAGCCCCGGAGCCGTCCCTCTGCAGAGAGGCGACTGCGCCCGGCTCACCTGCGAAGCGCCTGGGAAGGTAGGGAGCGCCTAGACGGAAACGCGCCACAAACTTTGCGCTGCCTGAGGTGCTGCGGTATGCGCGGCAGAGTCAGCTGCCGTGTGTGTGTGTGTGTGTGTGTGTGTGTGTGTGTGTGTGTGTGTGTGTATTGTGGTTGTCGTTGTTGTTGCTGACTGAGCCTTATGATTCTGATACTAGCTGGGACGTGTGGAAAGCAAACTTAGACGGCTGCTGAGCATTCCCTGAATGGGCAGCTATCCCTCGCTGCCTGGGTAGAAGAGCCCCCGCCTCACTCTGCCCCATATCGATCCTGACACTTAAGGAGTCAAGGACAGAAATGGAGAGAGAAGGAGGAACTGGTTCTCAGTTTGGAAGAGTGTAAGGAGATTCCCGAAGGGGACTGAACAAAGTGGATGAGATCTGAAATGTGTGCTTTTTTTCTAGGCTCAGGGGAATCTGCTTTTGGAAATAGTTTTCGGGGATTGTTAGGCAGAGGACTCGGGGACTATGCCCTCGGCATCTCAAAAGAAGAGTTACTCTTGTGTGGCGAGGGATGAGCTTCGGTGCCCAGCCTAGCAGGTGCCCCTTTTCCTGAGGCTCACAAATGCCAAACCGTTGCTTCAGCACCGCGGACAGCGTCCGCTCACTCCTGGGGGCGGGAGCTGGCAAGTCTTCGGGGTGTCGGACTGGAAGACCGCGAATGCACCCTCCCGTTGAGCTAAACTCTGATCAACTCTTTCTTTCTCTCTTCCCTTCCTTCCTCTGCCTCCGCCCCTCTGCCGCAGTGAGCGTCCCTAACATGCGCTGGCCGCTGCTCGTGTCCGCGGGAGTCCTGCTGGTCGCTCTCCTGCCCTGCCCGCCATGTAGGGCCCTCCTCAGCCGGGGGCCTGTCGCGGGCGCCCGACAAGTCCCTCAGTCCCCCCAGCCCATAGATTTCCTCCAGCCGCCGCCTCAGCCCCAGCAGCTCCAGCCACCTCAGTCTCGACCGGTTCTGCTCCGCATGGGAGAAGAATACTTCCTCCGCCTGGGGAGCCTCGGCAAGAGCCTCGCTGCTCGCTTCTCACCCAGCTCTTCGGCCCTTGCTGGAGGCAGCCGCCCCTCGCCGGACCAGGCAGCCGCCAACTTTTTCCGCGTGTTGCAGCAGCTACAGCTGCCTCGGCGCTCGCTCGACAGCCCCGCGGCTCCGGAGAGACGCGGCGGCGGGAGCGCTCTCCGCGGCCACCAGGAGGCACTGGGGAGGGAGCGCCGGTCCGAGGAGCCTCCCATCTCCCTGGATCTCACCTTCCACCTTCTCCGAGAAGTCTTGGAAATGGCCAGGGCTGAGCAGTTAGCGCAGCAAGCCCACAGTAACAGGAAACTGATGGAGATTATTGGGAAATGAAGTGGTGCATTTGGCTGAAATGGTCCCACATTTAGCACAAAAAATAAAAATTTAAAAATACAGCGTTCTGTACCATAGTGCTGCTCTGATATCATTTGTTTATTTTTCTATAGCTTGAAACATAGAGAATGTACAGGGAGAGATTCTATACCCCTTAATCAGCATGCGAAGTCTACACGTGTGCAGTAACAGTGCAGCGTCATTTGCATAGTCGTTCACCTGTAGTTTCCATGTCCAGATGTCTTTATAGTAGTGTTTTAAAAAACAGTAGACCCAGGAAACATTTTGAAGCAGAAGAAAGTTGATCAACTGTTTTTCTAGTAGTCAGTGCCAAAGAGAATGCTGTTCTCTTCAGCAGTGGGTAAGAAAAAATATGTAAACTGTTTGAATCAACTTTTTTTTTCTTGTAAACGTTTCAGTAATAAAACAGCTTTCCCATCCTTGGCCAATTTGGTTGTGTAAGAGAATGTTGAATATTTATTTATATTTTTAATAAAAGCTGCAAATGTTATTATACTTTCAATGGTCTTAGCTCCTAGATTCTCCAAACTGCCTCCAGAACAAAAAACAAACATTATTCCCACAGAACCCCCAAACTCCCTGAGTTTTATTTTCTACCATGATTAGTGACCTACCTATACAGAAGCTACAACTTTCTTAGGCTCATCTGTGTACCTCAGATTAAATTTCTGAGTCTAAATCCAATACTTTGGGAAATTGTTTCCATCCCTAAAGCTTGGTAATTTCTACAAATGGAATATCAAATCATAATGGAAATAACATTTAACATTGATCAGTTATGAGATGGGAAATAGCAGAGAAGAGAGGAGAAGAATGAAAGGAAGAGAAAAGAAAAATCGAGGTAGGCATTCCTCCATATATGTATATGCCATATATATACAT